ACTCAGAAGGCTGACAAATACGGGTGCAGGCAGCTTGAGGACAGGCCAGGGCATCTGCATCTCATCGTCACTGTGAGAGAGGGTGGAAGCCAGTCAGCTATGAGCTGAGGAGGGAAGAGGGGGTAGAAGTAGAGACAGGGTGAAATAGTGTCTTAGGGTTATGAGAACAAAACAAGACTTGAGGTGCAAGGCCAGGTGTGGTGGCTCATGCCTGTAATCCTAGCATTCTGGGAGGCTAAGGTGGGTGGATTGCTTGAACTCACAAGTTTAAAATCAGGCTGAGCCAGAGCAAGACCTTGTCTCTAAAAATAGCCAGGCATTGTGGTGGGTACCTGTAGTCCCAGCTATTGGGAGGCTGAAGCAAGAGAATCGCTCAAGCCCAAGAGTTGGAGATTGCTGTGGGCTGTGATACAACAGCACTCTACCTACCAAGGGCAACATACTGAGATTCTGTCTCAAAAATAAAACAAAAACAACACAAACAGTAAGCTGCTTTCTCCCATCATGGGCCCTCCCAGCCTTCTAAGCTACACTCCAAGTCTTTTTTTTTTTTTTTTTTTTGAGACAGAGTTTCATTATGTCACCCTCGGTAGAGTGCTGTGACATCACAACTCACAGCTACCTCAAACTCTTGGGCTCAAGCAATCTCCTTGCCTCAGCCTCCTGAGTAGCTGGGACTACAGGCACCCACCACAAATGCCTGGCTATTTTTCTGTTATTGTTGTCACTGTTGTTTAGCAAGCACTGGCTGGGTTCAAACCTGCCAGTCCCAGCTTACTGTTCTTTATGTGGAGAGTGATGCAACTGCTGCCAGCTGGTGTGAGGCAGATGTCAGATCCCAGAAGGCACCCCAACTCCTTGGTCTCTAAGAGGCATCGATAGCAGCGCAGGTATTTGGGGAACTGAGATGGTTTCTGATTGACAGGAACAATCTTACCTAGGAAACAGAGAAGCATTGGTCGCATCCCCACTCCCATCTTGCCTGATTCCAGGCAACACCACCATTCCTTTCCTGCCTGCTCACCTCCCCAAACCATAAAATCATCAATTCTTCAAAGCTATTTGGTCACCAGAAGCTTTGATCTTCATTGAAATCTCCACTCTCTGCTCTTATATCACCAGAGATGAGGAACTCATCAAGTAATTCACTCATTCATTCATTGAACACAAATTCAAAAGGCTAACGTGTTCAGCACCCTGCAAGCCTCTGAATTCAAAGGTTAGGCTAAGGCAGGCAATTCTAGTTCTGGGCCGCACTGTTAGAACAATTCTTCCTCTGTGAATGGTTTCTCAGTCCCCCACCCTCCTGGACTCTATTTTGAACATGCTTTCTTTTTTTTTTTTTTTGGCGGTTTTTAGCTGGGGCTGGGTTTGAACCCACCACCCCCAGCATATAGGGCCAGTGCCCTACTCCTTTGAGCCACAGGCGCCACCCTGAACATGCTTTATTAATCTGTAATATTTAGAAGTAAAAACATGACAGGAAGTATCACAGGACAGGAAGAATCTCTGTGTAGATAGGAGACTTCAAGCCAGCCCAAGGCCACATTCTTTGATTTTGGTGATCTTATCACCGGACAGATTTATATTAAACCTTGTCCACCAAGGCCTCCATTCTCCTCTTCCCTCCCCAACTACATGTGTACCTCTTCCTCTTCCTCTGGCCTTAGGCCCAGACCACACATAAATGAGTGCCCAACAAAGCACTTGGTGTGAGACAAATTCTTAACAAACACTGTTGATGGTGCTCTGCAGCCAAGTGAGGAGGCTATCAAGCTTGATTCGTTCAGTCTTGTGTTCTCTCCTGTGGATTCTGGTCTTGTCATACTCCCCAATCCTTCCTCTTCTGTTGCCCTGACTTTTGGAGAAGATCCCTTTAATATCTCCATTCAGGTCACTGCTGTCGAGTGAGACAGCTCTAGGGCTATTAGAAATCTCCCTCAGAATGAACATTAATCCATTAGCGGTCCCCAGGCACCCCATCTTCCCTCCTGCCTGGGGTTACCTGAGCTTCTTGAGCAGATGTACCCAAACACTTGATGGCTGTGGGTTTCACCATCCAGCAGGCCAGGAAGTCCTTCTGACCCCCTGGAGCCACTTACCAAACACCATGCTCATCATGACCAGCACTGTTAAGAGGACCATGCACAGGGCTTGGAGAGTTCTGCGGAGGCCCAAGGTCTCCAGATGCCGGTTCTCTGCAGGGCCTGCCATGAAATGCATGACTGCCCACTGGCCTCTAGTTTGGGCTTATATTGGTAAAAGAGAGATTGGCCAAGAGGAAAGGGAGAGGCAATACCAGTTCAGGGTGGAAATCAGTGCCAGACCAGCCAGAGAGACAGAGTGTCCTCACCCACACTCACTCTGGGGTATAACTTCCTGGCTTGGGAGAAAAGGCCTAACAAAGGGGAATGAGAAGGGGGAAATCATTCAATAGACATTTATCCAATTATTGCATCAGGTGTTGGGAACACAACAGTGCACAAAGTCCTTGCACAGGGTACAGTCTAGTGGGCAAGACAAGTCAACAGCAGTGGTGGGGCAGGGCAGAGTACTGGCCAAAGCACCTGGACAGAGGAAACCACTGACCAAAAGAATTCAGCACAGGAATAACATGATCAGATTTCTCTTTGTGAAAGATTACCATGGCTGCACACTGGAGAATAAGAGTTAAGAGCGGAAGCCAAGAAATAGGGAGCTATTCCTGAATCCAGTCACAAGGTGGCGGCCCGACCTAGCAGAAGAAAGGCATGGACTCTGGCGAAAGTGAATGACTCTGAGATATATTCAGAAGGAAGACCAGACAGATTTGGTATGAGGCTGAACGCAGACTGAGGGAAGGGGTCAGGCTTGCACAAGAGGGTGATTAATGGTACCATTTTCCAAGATGAGAAAGAGGTGGTACTATCGGGCATCCAAAAGCGAAGACACCTGAATGCCAGCGACACGTACTCAGCTGGGTGCCCTGTTGGGGTTCTAGAAACCCAGCACCTTCTCCTACTCATCTTTTCTTCTTCCCTGCCTACGCCCAGGGAGGGCCTGTGAGTCTGATCTCTGACGCCCTCGGGATCTAGCACTTCTCGTTCGCTCTCCGCGCCTGACTGCACCTCAGGCCTCCAGGAGGGTGCGGTGGGGCCTCCTGCCCACGCCCCGCTGTTCTCTGGGGGCAAACCTGGGAAGCTCACCTGTGCAAGTGGACTTAAGCGTCGGGCCCCTGCGGACACCCGGAAGCGGGCTCTGTCGTACCGCCGTCCATCTCAGGCGGATTCTGGAACCTGGGTCCCAGACATTCGCCCATTTCCTCTACCTGGGGAATCGGCTGGGCTCCCCTGCCTGCTCTATCCACACCTCATCAGGTCAGTCGCGGACTCCGAGAGACCCACCCAGTGCTTTTACTTTTACAGTTATTGGGCTCTGCGAGGTCCAACACCACCTATCCCAACTTCCAGCCTTAGAGGTTCGTGTGGGGCCCAGAAGTCCAGTTCCCTGCTACTGCCCAAACTATCCCGGGATCTTCGGGTCTCGAAGTGATGAAGGGGAAGACTAGAAGAAACACACTCCCACCAACAAAGCATCGGAAAGGAAGAAACACGAGAGAAAAACGCACACCACTGCGCTCCCCACAAGAGGCTTTTTTTTTTTTTTTTTTTTTGAGACAAAGAGTCTCACTTTGTCGCCCAGGCTAGAGTGCCAAGGCGCCATAACACAGCAACCTTTGGCTCAGCGATCCTCTTGCCTCACCCTCCCGAGTAGCTGGGACTACATGTGCCCGCCACGATGCCCGCCTAATTTTTCTATGGACTCTATTTTTAGTAGCAACGGAGTCTAGTTCTTGCTAGAGGTGATCTCTAACTCTTGAGCTCAAGAAATCCATCCGCGGGCGGCGCCTGTGGCTCAGTGAGTACGACGCCGGCCCCATATACCGAGGGTGGCGAGTTGGATGGAACCCAGCCCCAGCCAAACTGCAACAACAACAACAAAAAGAAAGAAAAAGAAATTCTTCCGCCTCGGCCTCCCAGAGTGCTAGGATTGTAGGCTAGGCGTGAGCCACCGCGCCTGCTCCCCACCCCCATTCCAGAGACGTGGAATGAATGAATTTTTTTTTTTTTTTTTGAGACAGTCTCACTTTGTCGCCCTCGGTAGAGCACTGTGAAATCACAGCTCACAGTAACCTCCAGCTCTTGGGCTTAGGCGATTCTCTTGCCTCAACCTCCCGAGTAGTTGGGACTACAGCATCTGCTACGACGTCCGGCTATTTTTTTGTTGCAGTTTGGCCAGGGCTGGGTTCAAACCCGCCACTCTCCGTCTATGGGGCCGGCGCCCTACTCACTGAGCCACAGGTGCCGCCTGGAATGAATGAAAGTTAAAATGTGTATTAGAGAAAGCCAGAGTCTAGAGAACTGGGGAGGAGCGCTGGCATCTACATAAATGTCTGCACGATAGAGTAGGGGCTCTCCTTTAAGCAAAGAGGGCAAAGGAAAAACAGGGTAGGTAACCTCAGAGCGCCCTCTGAATCCTTCCCTCGAAAGTAGCCTCAACTGTAAGGCCAACGCTAGGCGAGGCTGAGCTCCCGGAGGGGATCATCCTGAGAGGTCCAGGAGGGTTAGCTGTTATAGTGACTGTGAAGACACTGGTAGCGCTGAGGGGCGGGGTAGTATTCGGAGGAGGTGTGAAAGTCATTAATCCTGCCCCTGGGCCGGACGCGGTGGCTCAAGCCTGTAATCCCAGCACTTGGGAGACCAAGATGGGTGGATTGACTGAACTCACAGGTTCGAGACCAGCCTGAGCCAGAGCGAGACATCCCACCCCCATCTCAAAAAAATAGCCGGGCATTGTGGCGGGCGCCTGTAGTCCCAGCTGAGACAAGGGAGCTGGGAGGCTGAGGCAAGAGAATCGCTTAAGCCCAAAAGTCTGAGGTTGCAGTGAGTTGTGATGCCACAGCACTCTAGCCTGGGCGACAAAGTGAGACGCTAGGAGAAAAAAAAATCCTGCCTCTGCTTCGTTTCGCTCCATCCCAGTCCACGCGGCAGGGCGAAGCCAGCGCGCGAGAAAACACCTGAGAGTTAGTTTCCATGGTAATGGGTTCAGTGGTAGCTTTCCTAGGGTGAAGAGACGGGGCGATGCAATAGTCGCCGTGGTGACAGCTGCGGATGACAGTATCCCTGCTGAGAGCTAGAGGTAGGCTGCCGAGTGACGAAACAAAGGAGGTGGGGCCTGAGGACCGAACGGCAAATTAGGGAATGGGGCGTGGCAGGCGAGGGGCGGGCTGAAGATGTCGGCCAATGGAAGAGTGTTCTGCTGAGGCAGCTGCCAGAGACTACGGTCTGAAGAGCAACCAGACAGAGGTTGAATATAAATGAATGACTAGGTACCTAAGGGAGCCGGAGTGGCTTGTTGATTGGTTGGGTGGATGGGGGATCTGGCTATCCCTGACTCCTGGATTCCCATCCTCCAGAGCCTCCTGGGCCCTATACTCTCCAGTGCCATCGCTCATTTGTAACAGCTGCGAGAGAAACACATGCCCCTCCTCGGGGCTTAGAGTAAACCCTAAACCCAAACAAGCAGCCCAGAGCTCTGTGAAGCACCTCCCAACGGAAGCAGAGCAGCCCGAGCCTGGGTCAATGTGCTAGGGTAGGGTAAGGAAGGGCCCAGCCTGGGACCACCTCTTCCCAGGTTTTCCACTTAGCCTCTAACTTTGCTTTCAGCCTTCATCTCTTCACTGGCCTCACCTGGTGCCCAGTATAGCCGAGTCCAGAGCCCCAGCAGCTGTGGGGTGTGCAGCTCAACTAATCATCCCCTGGGAATTTGGGAACTTTGCTATATAGGATGAGGGGTGGCCCTACCCCAGGCTGGGGGTACTTCTGAAAACAAACCCAGCTTCTCCAAGCCTTATTAGGTGTGAAATAATCTGAAGTAGACAGAGGCCCCTAGGTGAAGTGGTCCAGAACTCACATTTTTATTTTTATTTTTATTTTTGAGACAGAGCCTCAAGCTGTCCCCCTGGGTAGAGTGCTGTGGCATCACAGCTCACAGCAACCTCCAACTCCTGGGCTCAAGCGAGTCTCCTGCCTTAGCCTTCCTAAGTAGCTGGGACCATAGGCACCTGCCACAACGCCTGACTATATTTTGGTTGCAGCCATCATTGTTGTTTGGCGGCCCAGGCTGGCTTTGAACCCGCCACCTTAGGTGTATGTGGCTGGCGCCTTAGCCACTTGAGCCACAGGCACCAAGCCACACATTTTTATTTTAAAAAAATTTTAAGGGCAGTGCCTGCGGCTCAGTGGATAGGGCACCAGCCCCATATATGGAGGGTGGTGGGTTCAAACCTGGCCCAGCCAAACTGCAACAAAAAAATAGCCGGGCGTTGTGGCAGGTGCCTGTAATTCCAGCTATTTGGGAGGCTGAGGCAAGAGAATCGCCTAAGCCCAGGAGTTGGAGGTTGCTGTGAGCTGTGTGATGCCATGGCTACCAAGAGCAATAAAGTGAGAGTCTGTCTCTACAAAAAAAATTTTTTTTTAATTATTATTATCATTATTATTGTTTTTTTCTTTTTTGAGACAGTTTCATTCTATCTCCTTGGATGGAGTGCCATGGCATCAAACCTCACAGCACTCAAACTCTTGGGCTCAAGCGATCCTCTTGAGCTACAGAGTAGCTCAGAGTAGCTGGGATTACAGGTGCCCATCACAGCACCCAGCTATTTTTAGAGACCAGGTCTTGCTCTTGCTCAGGTTGGTCTTGAACTCCTGAGCTCAGGTGATACACCCACCTCAGCCTCTCAGAGTGCTAGGATTACAACAGGTATGAGTGAGCCACCTTGCCCGACATGGAACCACATTTTATAAACCTCTCTCCTCACCCACTTCAGGCATTCAAGGCCCTCTTACGGCATCTACTGTTCTTTATACTATGCACAGGAAGATGGGGGAAAATGAAGCAATTCAACAGAGTCCCTAGTGTCCATGTCAAAGAAAGGGAGTCCTTTGTCTCCAGGTTGTAAGAGGTAGAACTGGGTGTCCCCTATTTGCACTTAAGGAGCTTCACTTAGCTGAACAAAACTTTAGTTTCCACCAGATTAACTGGCCTGTTGGATCTGGGAGGTTGAGGTTCAGAACCAGGCAGCTGGTCCCACAGCTTCATGTTCTACACTTTCCACCCTCTTTGGCCTCTGGAATGAGACAGAGGAGAGAGGCACTGGTGTCAGCTTTCCACCTGCTGTTTGCTAAATGTGAAGCATTCTGGAGCTGAGGTCACCACCCCTCTTCTGACCCAGATGTCACATCACCTGATAAATCTCAGATCTCCCCTTCTGGTGGAGACTCAGTAAGGAACTGCTAAGCTGATAGGGGAAGACACAGTCTCTGTCCCCAGGATTACAGAGGAGCTCCAGGTATTGGGGTTAGAGGAAGCACAGAAATTAGCCAGTGACTGTATCTAGGACATTAGAACATAGAACATACCCGAGGTAAGCAACTTGTTCAAAACAATGGGCCCAAGGTGGTCACGCTGCTAGTGTTTCATCTGGAAAGAGGATTCCAAAGGGAGAAGGTGGCTAAGTAACAAACTGATGGGGGGAAGGGAGAACTCATTCTGTTCCATAAGGTCCAAGGATTAGAAATAGGATGGAAGTTATGGAGAACCATTTCCTCAGGTTCAACCTAAGCATTTTCTTCTTCTAGAGCTGTCCACAAGGCAAAGTATGACTCTGAGGACATGAGTCCTTGCCCGTAGTCCCTGTTTGTTGCATTATAAAACAAAAACACTATAAGGTGAGACTTGACATGGACAGGAGGGTGTGCAGTGTTTCCTGCATAGGACATGGGGAACAGACCATTGTTTCCTTCCCATGGGCATAACAGGAGCTGAGCAAGGGAAATTGAGGGTACTGATAGTGACACCATGCAGGTTAGACCTGGAAATCAGATAACAGAAAGTGTTTTGTAAACAATAAATCTCAAGCGGGGCAACCATGGGCTCCTGGGCAATTACATGCAGGAAGAAATGAGGAAGGAGGGAGGGGCCAGGGAGGCTGCCCTGCCATGATAGTACTAGGCACACCAGGCAAGGGTGAGACTTGGGGACCCACTGCATGAGGACAGTTCAGGTTGGGGCTGAAGGCGTTGGGAGACACGGAGATGGGAAGGGTTAAACTGGCAGGGTGGAGTTGAGGTTTTCCAAAGACCAGCCTTTTGGAACTTCTGCTCTTCCCACTACCAGTTCCTGGTTCTCTGGACCCACAGGGAGTCACATAATTAGGCAGATAGTAGAAAAAATACCTTTTTATTAATTATTAGGAATAATCCATTCATTTAATGCAAGGTATGTGTTGGAGACGGTTAGGTACTGCCACATGGACGATGGGAAACGTGCAAGAGGAACAGTGATGAGAAGAGGGATGGCCCTCCATTTTCCAAAAACTATAAACAGTAACATGAACACAGAGAACCACAAATAGGAGGGTCTCCCTCATGTCTTCTCTCTTTGAATTCTTTAATAATGAGTCCCAGAGTAAGCCCTAGAGGTGCCACGGCATCTGGAAGTTCTGGGCTGGAAGTGGAGTGCAGTGTGTGGCCTCGAAGTTGTGCAGATGCTTCCGAGCCTGAGAAAAGTGGGGGGACACTATAGGAAGGATGCAGGCCACTATAGGTACCAGCAGCCACTAGACACCCTCCCAATCCCACCTCTGAACCAACCACCCACTTTATAAAAGCTGCCATTTCCAATGTTTACAAAGTGTACCCTGTCCCCAATCTCCCTATCTGAACCCCAGTCACTCAGACATCCTTCCCTGCTTCTCCCTCCTTAGCTCACCAGAAACAAAGCCAGCTGCCGCCGTCCATCTGCACTCATGTCCTCCCCTGTAGAGGAAATGCTCAAATACAGGCCAGCCATCTGGGTATTCACACCCCTTCTGGGTTCTTCCCATTCCCTCTTCTGCCCCAGGACATCCTTACCCACACTCCAGGGGAAGTCAGGTCCATGTTCTGCCTGGTAGGAACGGAGAACAGACAGACACCAGTCCTCCTCCACCTCCCATCGGCTGTAAACTGAGGCTGGACAGGGAGAGAGATGAGAGACTGTCAGCAGCCTGGCCTTGCTGGATCCCACCCCAAAGCCTCACCAGATCCCATGGTACCTTCCTCCAGCTGTGAGGAAGCCTCCAACCACTGCCTCACCACCCGGAGACCCTCTTCTGCCATCACACGGGGGTACCTATAGAGAGTACCAGGACAGGAGGTCAGGACTGAATTCTCATTTCTCATCCCTGAACTTTCCTCCCTCCTTCCTTGTTCTGGCAACAGTATTATGTGTGTATCTGTGTCCCACTCCCGCCGCCACACACACACACCCTGGCTCTCACCGATGCTGCAGGAGCTTTAGCAGGAGGTCATTGCCTCGGTTGGACATAATGTCCTCAGGAACCCTGGGAGCAAGAAGAATGTACCCTGGGTGGGGGCTGGAGGTTGGAGAGGAAGGGTGTGGATACTGGGCTCTTGGTGGGCAGAGGTGGAGTGACAAGTTCCTGGCCATCTCTGGGATATGGGGAGGGCAGAGGCTTCTAGGCACTCACGTGGTGGTGATGATTTCATCCTTGGTTCTCCGGACCAGCAGCACAGGGCCCTGGTACCTTCAGAGGACACAGCAGTGAGGAAGAAGACCTCAGAGGGAGACAACTGACAACTGGCCCACCCCCATCCCTACCCTGATAGCATTCTTACCCCTGCTACAGCAGGGCCTGTGGGCTACCCCTTTACCCAGGAGTGAAAATATTTGAATATTTGAGAATAGACATTGCTTAGAGTCTGGCTGTGCTGGGAGAACCCTGCTGTGCTAGGTATTCACCCTTTGGGTGGTAGATCAAAAGATGTCCAGAGTCTAAGGGAAGCTGGGAGGGGGTAGGCCAGCTGGGCTGGTGGCAGGGTCACTTACCGACTTGTATTTTATTTTATATATTTTGAGACTGAGTCTCTCTCTGTCACCTTGGGTAGAGTGCCATGGCATCATCAGAGCTCACAACAACCTCAAACTCCCAGGCTCAAGTGATCCTCTTTGCCTCAGTCTTGAGTAGCTGGGATGACAGCAGGGCCTGTCATGATTTCCCAGCTAGTTCTTCTCTATTTTTAGTAGAGATGGGGCCTTGCTCTTGCTCAGACTGGTCTCTGCACTCCTGAACTCAAGCAATCCACTAGCCTCAGCCTCACCGAGTGCTAGGATTACAGATGTGAGCCACCAACTTGCATTTTAGTACTAAATTCAGCATATGAATGCCCAGAAAATGGGGCGTTAGCAGATGCCAGACACTGGTCTACCCTCACCTGCACAGCTGCTCTGCATTGTTTAGATTGAGATGTTGCCTCACAGTCCTGGTCACCAGGCCCCCTAGAGTGGAATAAAGGTGAGAGACAGTAGAGACAAAACTTTTGCCCAACATAAAAGTCCCCACTGTTCATAGAGAGAAAATTGAGATAGAAGAGTCCTTCTGTTTCTCAACAATAGGGCACCCTATTCCCACCCATGGAAAAGAGAACCATCCTCAGTTAGAACAGCTCCCAGTTCCAGCCCACCCCTCCCTCACTGCACTCACTCCAGCTATCCGGCATGACCTTCAAGGCCAGGGGAACCAGGTCATCGAAGGAGGCGTCCAGGATCACAGCACTAATGTCTGGGTAAGACATGGCTGCCCATGTGGCTGGTACCAAGACAGAGAAGAAGGGTGAAGACTGGGAGGGGCTCCTCCCCACCACCCCTCCCTGTATCCCGTTGACGCTACAGGTTAACACTGTCCTCCTACTATTTTTTTCCCCCACTGAAGACAATGGCATGGACTAATGGCATCATCATAACTTACTACAACCTCAAACTCCTGGGCTCAAGCCATCCTCCTTCCTCAGCCTTCCAAGGAGTGGGAATACAAGTGCCTGCCATGACACCTGGCTAATCTTTTCTTTTTCTTTTCTTTTTTTTTTTTTATTTTTAGTAGAGAAAGGGCCTTTCTCTTGTTCAGGCTGGTCTTGAACTCCTGACTTCAAGCAATCTTCCCACCTTGGCCTCCTAGAGAGCTAGGATTACACAGGTGAACCCTGGTACTTGGTTAACTATGGGTTTTTTTTGAGATGGAGACTCACTATATTACCCAGGCTGATGTCAAACTACTCCTGGCCTCAAGTGATCCTCCTGCTTTAGCCTCCTCAGTATCCCCCTACTATGTTATCTGCTCGTTTCTCTTTAACCCTATGTCAGTTGGCCAAGGCACTACCTGGAGAGGTAAGGGAGAGAGCCCTGAAGTACACTGAAGATACCAGGGAGAGGAAACATTAACTTTCCCTGATCCTGCCACCACAGAACCTGGGTCTACTTTTCATTTTAATGATAGGGCACAAGGGTAGAAGGGAAGGTAAAGAGTAACAAATAGGGCTCAGCGCTGGTGGCTCAAGCAGCTAAGGCGCCAGCCACATACACCTGAGGTGGCGGATTCAAATCCAGCCTGGCCCGCCAAAACAACAATGACGGCTGCAACCAACAAATAGCCAGGTGTTGTGGTGGGCGCCTGTGGTCCCAGCTACTTGGGAGGCTGAGGCAAGAGACTCGCTTAAGCCCAGGAGATGGAGGTTGCTGTGAGCTGGGATGCCAGGGCACTCTACCCAGGGGGACAGCTTGAGGCTCTGTCTCAAAAAAAAAAAAAAAAAAGAGTAACAAATAGGATACCTTCTTCCAGGCCTACTCAAGAGATTCTACTTCCTCCCTCTTCTTTCTTAAGCCTCCACCCTACTCTGGGACCACCAGCACATTTTCCCACCTTAGGGTGGGGAGGCATGAATGTATCTACAGTAGGGGGTGAAAGGGAGGCTAGTACCAGTGAAGCCGCCAATGGACCAAGCGTAGATAACAATGTCCTGAGGCTGGAAGCCCAGGCGATGGATGGCAAACTGGACTACCACATCCATGGCATTGGCCTCGTTCTGAGGGAATGGCACCCCCTGTAGGACAAGGGGCAAAGGTAGGAGTGGGTCAGTACCAAAGTCTGGCTTACCAGCTACCTGCACCTTCCCAGGGAACCCCTCCTGCAGCCACATGCAATAGACAGAGATGGTGTAAAAGCATAGCAGGAGGAACTGTTCTCTCCAGAAGACAGACATTTACAGTAAGATCCACCTCCTCGGCTCCTGCCAATCCCCACTGCAAGAAAGGGGGTGTGGCATCCCAGTGTGTGTGTGAGGAGGGGAGTGGGAGGCTCCCACAACAGTGTACATCTTCTTTCCTCCATCTAGTGGCTGGCCAGAGGGACAAATATAATTCAGGAAAACAGAGGGACGCCTGAGTCTCACCGTGCTTCCAGCAAAGCCTGGATGATTCCAACCCAGGATTGAATATCCAGCTGTAATACAGAGGGAGGAGGGATGAAAAGTTCTCTCCAGCCCTGAGGGAAGAAAAGCAGAAGGCCCCCATCTCCCCAACTCAGAGACATATAACTCCAAACCTTCCCAGAACAGGGAGATATCACCAAAGGTTCTAATTCCATGATGCCCCAAGCTGAGGCAGAAGGAGAGATGTATGACTTTGTGGGGTTTGTGTGTGGAGAGGCAATGGAGACCTACTTATTAGTGAAGGATGTAAGGTTATCAAAGCAAAAGGGGTGTGGACTTTTCCCCAAAGGTAAGAAACTCAAATCAAATCTTACACAGGACAAGTAGAGGCTGAGGAAGGTTAAGATCAGTGTGGGAGGGACATTCTGTTCCAGGGGGCAGAGAATAGAGGGCTGAGCCCAGGGCCCTACCTTCCAGGGGTGTGGAGACGCAGCCCACCTCATAGAACCCTGCATTCCCCTCGCAGCAGATCACCTGGGAAGGAGGCAGGAAGGAAGGGCTGGGAAGGAGCCAAGTTGGGACTGAAAGCTGGACAGGGAGGACAGCCTGTGAAGAGCTTTGCAGGCAAGAAGAAAGGGCAGGTTCCTGTTCTCTCTCCTGTTTCCCCACGCGCTCTCATTCTCACCAAGGGGAATGGGAACTTCTCATTCCACAAGGTCCATAAGATGAGAAGCAAAGTGGTTGCAAATGCTTATCAAACTGGGCCCTCAAAGGAAGATGACTCAAGCTGAATTGCTCAATCACCCAGCACAGTGTTGTTCTTCCTTGGAAGACCATGAGGCAGGTATCTCTCAGGAATGGGACTATGGTTATTTTTTTCCTTTATAGTTTTTAGGTCTATTTGTTCTGTGACTGTTTCTGTTGTGTGGTATGCTGACTGCTTTCCCTCTTCCTCTTTGGGTCCCAGCCTCATGGTCAAATAAGCTCTAATTCCATGGTGCCCCAAGCTGCAGTGACTTGAGTGAACTTTCACAGCAGATGGGCAGTATCCATTTAAGACTAGAATCCAGCTCCCAAGAATCCAGCACTCACTTAGTGCTTTTTCCAGGCTGTTTTAGAGGCAGATGACTTTGGAGCCAGGCTGCCTAAGTTCAGAATACTAGTTCTAACACTTACTGTCTGATCTGGGAAAGTTTTTCTATGCCTGTTTCATCTGTAAAATGGGCTAACAGAAATAGGACCTATCTTGCAGGATTGTTGTGAGGATTAAATATTCGCCTTGCACATGGTAAGTGCCATCTAAGTGGTGACTACTGTGATTATTATATTTTGATCCTTGATTTCAAGAAGTCTTTAGGGTGGAACTAGGAGATGAGATTATCCCCAGTTGTGGATCCTTAAGGAAGATGCTTTAAGACTGGGGTCCCCAGAACCTCTATTGCCTTCCCCCTCATCCTCCACTTTTAGGCTTTCTTTTCCCTCTCACCAGCTTCTGTCCTTGGGGCTCAGCTGTCCCCCGCCGGTCCACAAACATGGTATCAATCTCATTGCCATCACAAGCCAGCAGCTTTGCCCGACGGCCATTACACTGAGTTGGGGAAGACACAATGGCCAGGTTGAGGGGCAGGAGGCCAAAACCCTGGCAGGGAGAAGGATTAGTGGTGGTGGGGTGACAGGGGAGCCTCACCTCTTCTACCAGTCGGGCCTGGCCCTGCAGCAGAACAGGCATGAGGGCCTTCTGAAGCAGGTACACAGAGCCTGGATACAGCATCCGGCGCCCCAGGGTGTGTGCCACCAGGTAGCTGTGGGGAACATAGGTTAACAAACTCCTAATCCCAGTGGGGTCCAAGGACTGAGCTCGGGATGGCCCCAGCCCTAGCACTCACAAACTTTGGGGCCCAATTTACCCTGGACTGTCATAGCTTCACTTTTCTCTAAGGACTTAATTAATATATATACCAGGTTGGTGGTTTCCAACTTTTTCTTACTTCAGTGATTTTCAACCAGTGTGCATGCAAATGTTTCAAGATCATCAATTAAATTATTTTCTTTCTTTCTTTCTTTTTTTTTTTTTTTGGTA